TAGAGAACAAAATTTGTATCTCTTTGAGACTAATTCCGTCTGCCAGTCTGAGTCCAGAGTCCAGATGGAACATTTATATTGTTTCCAGCAGCAATCACAGTGTCCCAGACAAACACAAGTGTTCCTCTATCACTGTATGTTAAAGAAACCTTTTAGAATCTTGATAAAATTTGGTTTGATTTAGTAGAGAGCAAAATTTGTATCTCTTTGAGACTAATTCCGTCTGCCAGTCTGAGGCTGCAGTCCAGATGGAACATTTATATTGTTTCCAGCAGCAATCACAGTGTCCCAGGCACTGTACAAACACAAGAAGATGTTACACTCTAAAGTTTAAAAAAAAAAAAAAAGATACAGAATAAAGGGAAAAGTGATATAAAATACAAGTAAAAGTTTGGCCAAATCCTGACCAAGGATCATGTTTTAACTCCTTTCCCACAGCCCCAACCACATTCCCCACATCCTTCTGGTTATCATTTGGCTGGCAGAAATGCATTGATCTTCAGCACAGAAAGGACAGTCAAAGGCATCCTGGATAATGCAGTACCAGGATTTGATACAAACTCGTTTCTTAAAACACGGAAATAAGTGTTCTCCCACAGTAACAAAGCTGCCAAAGACAGGCTAATACCTTTGCCTCTCATGACAGAGAAGCAGGGAAAGGAGTTATTTGGTCATGCTAAAAGCTGTTTCTGCTTGGTCATGCTAAAAGCTTATGAAAATATATTTAACAAGAGATGCAGGAGAGGAGGCAGTTTAAGGACAGGTATTTAAATCTTCAGTCGACTGTAAAGATAGTAACTGAAGGCATTTGGTTACGTAAGAACTAACTAGGAAAGGAGTAAAACAATGAAGAGGAAAGAAAATAACCAGGAATAATGAAAGATGGAAGAATGGCCAGACAGAAAGGTGGAAAAACAGAAATTAACATCACTACACTTACATCTCTGAAAATACACTTTGTAATCAGCAGCAATACAATCAGTGTTATATATTCATGGACTAGAACTGAAATTTGACAGCAAAGAATCCCATCACTGATTGTCCATTGCAATGTCATAAAAAGAAATTAGGTCAATTGTGCCTTGCTGCAACAACAAACAATTAAACATACCTGGATGAAAGAGATTCCCCAATGAAGACTTCATTGAGTGCTCTCACTGGTAAAAGACGTGGACCAGAAATGTCAGATCCTGTAGATATTTAATTTAACAGTTTTGAATCATGGCTCTAAACACCAAATTTTCAAAAACAATTCACAACTCACTGGAGGACATACTCTGCTGCCTGGGTTTGTATTCTAGACCTAATGCTCCATTTTCTTCAAGGACTCAATTTTTCACTTATTTAGTCTGTAGCTAGTCACTGTCCTTTACTGGAGACTACAAATATTTGTACCAAGGTCAATAAAGCAACTTATGTTCAGACATCGCTTTCCCTGAAAACTCATGGGCAACCACACAGATTGAAGTCAAGTCTTTTGTCAGTCACTCTTCCAGCCTAGTTAAATTCACTGACAGTGACTTAACAGACATTTCTGACAAAGTTCAAAGAATTAGGCTTTATACCACAGTATAACTTAATCTGGGTCTTCAGCTCACGAGAGCTGTCCCTCCCTGCCTCTCAAGTACAGCAACCAGACTTCAAATACTTCAACTCTTACAAATTTTTATCTCAGATTTTAACTTACTTTGATCCTGGAATCTTTCATTTATGTGAGCCCTGCTGTGTTGCTCTTGGCTTAGCTGCTGTTCATGTAAATCTACAGGGGTTGGATTAATACCAGTTCCTTCAAGATACAGTCGGATTCTTTGCCGCCACTGCCACCTTAGAGAGGAGAAACAAGTTGGTATCAGTAGCTGAAATACTCATTACAGAATTAGATAGGATCAGAGGGTCTTCACTCTCAAAGCAGAGCATCTTAAGATTAAAAGTTAAATATATTCAAAGTCACATTTCAAGTTTTATAGCTTCCACTATAATTGCTAAATTTAGAAAGTTAATCATACTAAAATGTAAATACTTTACACTTACTAATTTGCTACATAATGTTTTTTGTATGTATAAAATAAGGGGACACTGGGCAAAAGTAGTCTACAAACATTATAGATAACAACTCATTTTTTTAGGCATGTGATCCTACCATGAATTCACGACCGATGCAATGATTTTGAGAACAAGCTCTCAGGAATTTATACAGCAATACATACTGCATTTTTACCATCCTTTGTTTGTATTTGTAGATGTCCAGAAAAGCAGCTCTATCCACCCCTTTATACTTAAGGGCCACAAGTATCCTCTCATTTTAAGAATCTCTCCTAGCCTAGGAACTTTAGGATGCTTAAGAAGAATTCAAATGAAGAAAGAGAAGAATATAAAAGGCATTCTTCCTTAAGCTGTTACAACATTCAGATTTTTTTTTTCCTAGAGGAGGTATCAATTCCCAGTTCATACTGTTGATATCCAAGTGACAGTAACCAGCTTACATGTTTCCTGAAATTACAGCAAGAAAGACTTACACTTTATATGACTACATTACTAGTTTTTTGTCATTGTCATCCTTGTAGAGCCTCATTCAACACATCCTTAGTATAATTACCTATCTGCTCTTAAATTCCAAGTATGGTTTTAAGTAGTCAGGCAGACAGCATGCAATGAGTATCATTATGCTAGCCTCCTTACAATACTCATGCCAGAACATGTCAAAACCCCTACAAATTAGAAAATGGGACTGTACCCCTATTCTATGATCCCATTACACCACAGACCATCAAAAAAAGAAACATGGGTAGTCTGATATAGTTTGTCCTTTATAAATCAATAATGTTGGTTGTTTCATGGGACTACAAGGTAAGCGTTTACACAGACTGTTGCACTAAAGTGGCTGACACTTCAAGGATAAGGAGAAAAGACAATCCCCCTTTTCCAGTCTCTGGCACCTCACCATCCTTATGCAACTCTGAGCCACCAGAAGCTCTTCCAGATGGGCTGATCCAGTTACCCACCTATTTTAAAGTTTCCTTAGAGCCAAATAAATCTGAGAACTGCCAAATGAAATGCACGCTCAGGTCCCTGCTTAGGAATATCAGTTCCTATTATTCTGGAAAAATAACCAGGAAGATCCTTTCTGTTTCACTCTGGTGAGGCTTCAGCTCCATAATGAGCAACAACAGGAGTGTCAGCAACAAAAGTATAACATGGCATCCAACAGAACATTATAAGTGCCTAGATTAGCAAGGGAGGTTACCTGCATTAGCACTACCAGCTTCACCTAAGCAACTTAGCACAATGGGGAGTTAAAAACGTCTGTTTTCTAAGTCTCAGAATATGTGAGTTGAAAGTACCTTTTCATTTAGCAATACCTATTGAAAACCCTCCAGTTATCTATAATCAATCATCATGACTGTATTCACCTCATTTCAGAACTCTTCTATGGCACAAATACAGTTACACTTCAAGCTACAAATTAAATATGCTAGAAATATAAGCAAAACCCAACTGCAATACATTTTCACATGAATGACTTATTTCTGTTTGATGGTTTGCCATCATGAAAATATTCTGGAATGTTAATACACCACAGAACAATGTCTCTTTTTAAATAGTTATTAAAAAACTCTTCCCTAGTCTGTCCTTTAAAATTCAGCTTGCTTTCTTCTTAATTCAAGTGAAATTCTTCTATTTTAAGAATATCTAGTATTGAAAACATCAAGCTATCTTCAGCATAAAGAAAAACTTTGCCTTATACCAATCCGTTAACAAAATTCAAGCTGCTCTACCTTAATCACCAAAACCCGAGATGCAACACACTGACCATTTCCTAACTGTATAGGCTTCATTAGCTTCTATTAGTATGGCCCACCACTGAACTACATATGCTTTCAAGTGTTAAAATATGTAAACCAATACACCCTTTACAAGAATGCAGTTCCTTATTTATGAATTTGCTAAGTCAGCAAAGAAAATCAATTATTGAAGGTCGTAACAAAAGTCTTTTTGCTGGAACTGGCAGTCAATTTTATCCTTTGTGTTCCAATCTCACTCTTGACCACAAACACATTTTTTCAACATGGTAAACACCTACAGAGGATTCACAATTTGAGGCATTAAGATTTCACTAAGCATTGTCTGCTCCTTAGGAACTGCACATCATTAAGTATTTTCCAATCATAGTATGTTTTGGAAAACCAAAGATCAGTGAATCCTACCTGAACTCACCACGATAAAGCTTCTGTAGTGCTTCAGGAAACGAGTGCGTGTATCTCACAGGTAAGCATAAGTGACCCTCTGATCTGATAGCAAAAAAGGACAATGAAAATGACAGTATAACTATTAAGATTTGGTACCTTTAAAAAACACAACTAAACATCTCTTTCTGTTACATAAAGCAAAGCTACACTTTGACCTTTATGAACCTATACTATTCTTACATAATAGCACATCAGCAACAATACACCTCTTTCAGCTCCTGGGGTGTATGTGTGTGAGACATAGGATATTCCTCCCACACTTCCCCTAAAAACTGGCTGTTCAGCTAGTAATCCTGCAGGAATATGTAGGTACTAATGTAGTTCCTGTCACCATAGTTCTAGGCAAGGAATTCAAGCTTAATAAACCTTGGAAGTTAGAAAGAAATTTTCCTCCATTTACACACAAGTTAATGGTACAAGACAGGTAAGCAACATGCCTAAGATCAAAAGAATCTCATGTCAAAGCCAGAAGACTAAACACTGCTCCCCTTTCATGAGTGATATTAGATAACTTGAAGGCACTTGTTATTTGAATCCTGCTATTCAGGCTTGATACTGTAGAATATCTATTCACAGCATTTGAAAAGTTTTGGAAGAGGAGTAAGGTATGGAAGGAATTATAACTTTTGGCCACCACTTTCTTATCTACTAAGATTACATTAACTGGTAATATCAAAAACAGAAACCTAAATCTGGAAATCTCAGCAGTCAGAGCCTTGGTGAATTCTGAATTTTACTTGCCATCCATTTGAAGGTTATACCAACCAGGCAGTACTAATACATTGCATCCACCTGCCCAAATCAATCTTATGGCTAGGTGGATGTAACTTGTGTGGAGTTCATAACAGGACAACTAAATGCCATTAACTGTCTGAGGAGACTGCATCCTCTGAGGCATGACGTGGTTTACATGAAGAAACCAGAACAAACTTCTTCATCTGAGGCCCTATCAGATTTCCAGTAGGATTCGCCTTCTTCATAAAGAAACCCAGTTTCTGTGTATTCTGTGTGTTGTTAAGTCCCTTTTCCTGTCCCTGTTCTATACTGCCATCTCTAGCCTCAAACTTCTGGTTAGTAATACAAGTTAACTAGCTGCAAGTGCTGTTACACTGGTGTGTGAAAACAGCTGTGGCAGTTTAACACAGTCATGCTTATCCAATACTACTTAATGTCCTCTCAGATGAGACAGGGTAACTATTTGTGGAAACTTTTCTAATAAAACAACAGGTTCACTTGATATCTACAATCCACTAAAACAGACACTTAACGCTGCCAAATGCCACAGGCATGCCTTATGCATCATGAAAACAGATGCATATTGTGCCTAATATTAAATAAAGCATTGCTTTCCCAAATGTGTTTTTACCTTTCAGGGTCAGTATTTACTCCAATAACTGGTTTAAATTTATCAAAGACCTTACTGGCTGCCAACAACATCGTACCATCACCTACAGAAAAAGCAAAACAAAAATTAGTTTCACTTCGCATTCTATAATCCCCAACCAAGTAGTCTCACATATACTGCAGCATTACCACGACGTGCTTTTGTATCAACAACCCATCAGGTAAGCTGCACAAAAATAAAACGGGACCACAAAACTACTGACACCTTTCAAAGCAGAGTAGTGACAACTGAATTCAAGATGGCAAATGTGACTGGAAAAAGTACAACTTATCTGACAGCTGTACATGCCCAGCCAACTGAATTTGGCAGAAACAAGTTTGAAAAGAGATTTATGGAAATTTCTGTGTGTTTATCAGCTGGTAAGAGAAATTCTTTAAGCAAATAAATTCAGAAAGTATCACCAATCAAAGCCACAGGAGACAGGAAACAATACCAAATTTTACTGTGAATCACATGAAAACAATGACTTTAGTTCCATCTCAGTTGTTCTCCTAGAAGGCACAATTTAAAGGTCTTATTTGGCCTTGGAAAAGAAGTCTTAGATAAAGCTGTTGAAATAGAAATCTTTAAGTGTCACTGGTTTCTTCAGGTATTGATATTCTTTCTGTCTGTTAAACAGAAGGACAACCATAACCTGAATCAGTCTTTGCACCAAGGTATAAGCTTTGAAAATCTCGGATTATGTGTCACTTCCCAGCTGCTTGCTTCATAACCGTGACAAATGTTGCCACAGCCAAATTGGCACTTTAATCTCCAGCTTAGAGGGGTTCTTCGAAGTCTGCAGGAGTATATTAGGATGCTTCAGGAATGTACACATACCCCTTTCTACCCATTCTGCGTGGTAACCAGTAGCTAAGGGCAAAGTGGACCACTGGGGAGGAGAGAAAGGCAGAGCAGTGGTCAAATCTAACTGCCACAGACGACTGAACGTTATGTCAGAGCCCAGCAACACACTGCAGTATTTGCAGCAAATCACAAAAATAACACTACTGTGATCCAATGTTAAAAAGAAACAATCAGGTTAGTTGCTCTGTTGGTTCATTTAAAAAGCTCTAATCAGTGGCACAGGCTGCTCAGAAGTTGCATACTTTTACCTGTACCATCCAACTAGATACTCCAGTCACTGGAATTAAGTGTGAAAGCAAGACAGACAGTTTGAGAGCAAGGGGAGGAAAAGGTAGTATGTTAGTCTCCACCTCACATACAAAAAACCAGAGTAGGGTTTAGGGCTATGTATAATCACATGACAGCAAGCATTTTATCCTCTTTAGCTGAAAACTGTAGTAAATTCCACAGTTTATACTGTTTTACACAAGATAATTAAAAATTTCCAAAGTGGCCATGCACTGGGATTCACTTCCTAGTGCTACAATTTTAGATACTAGAGGTAGAGAGGATGGTCACAACCATTGCATTTTGTCATATTTTCTGACAACTAGATAAGCAATTTGTTTTCAAAATGTGCATACCTCCAGATGCTTCACACACTGCAAAGTATTTTTGAAAAATGTATCTATGAAAACATACTGAAACAAATACTTCCCTTCCATAAAGTCATACCTCCTGCTGATATTACAGCATCTGCCCACCGAACTGTCTCTTCATTATATTCTCGACGTTTAACAAGACGAACTTCTATCCTCTCGTTCCTATAAAGTATAGAAAAAGCCTGAATGTGTCCTATATTGTTCCTTGTCACATCCTTCTGAAAAACTGACATGTAATTAAGGACTAATTACAGTGGTATTTGGCTTATAAGAATTTGACACTCACACAAATCCGTCTTTTTCATTTGTTTTCAAGATAATAACGTAGTGTGTTAGTTAACTGAACGGAGCTAGTTCACATTACGATTGTTTCAGGAATGACTGTTCATCTGCATTCTTGTTTTCAGTATTCCTATTTTATTAGAGCTTGTAACACAAAGCTTCCTTTTGTTGTTTTAGACAATCCATGGATATCTGCACTGTGTCTGAAATTCTCAGCATCCATACATTCTTACCGTAAACTGTCTACAACATGCTCCACGTTTTTTGTATGAATGCGATGCCGCTCCAGCAGACCAGCATAGTTAGATCCCTTCAAGGCAAGCTGTAAGACATAAATTGATTTTGTAAAGTTAATCACTACAGTAAGTGCTCTTGAGTAACACAAATAGGGGCTATACAAAAGCATGTATTTTATCTCAGTAGAGACATGTGCTTTTATAAGCATTCCATTAGTTACATCTCTATAAACATACCAGTCAGCTTACATTGACTAGTTCATTAAATGAGTTACATGGCCACAGCAGCCAAGAATCACAGACCTTTTAAGGGCTCTACACAAATACGCAAACAAGTATGCTACACTGACTTCTATGCCACTTCAAACACTTTGCTTTATACTCCTGTCATGTGCTAAAAGCACCCAGACAAACAGTTAGCTTAAGAGTTATAAACATTGTGCTACAAAGAAAGAGGACAACAGAAAAAGCAACAGGAATGATAATTAAAAAAACAGGAACCTTTGAAATACCCTTCAAATTGTATTTGAGCTAAAAGGGAAGACTGCCAAGTGCTGACAAAGGTGACATCTCCCCTGTGTCAAAAAAAGCTTAAGAACAATCTACCTACTACCTTTGATACTGTCCCCTGGATTATAGACCAGGTTTTTCAAACAATTCACATCAATAACAAGGCAAACAGTATTTAGCAGTTGCATTCTAGCATCATTCTTTTTGGAAGCTGGAGAATTTGAATACTTGACGCACTCTTTAAACCATGGAAACATGCTGCAGTTCATATAGACAGACTCTTAAGAGCAGGCAGGTGAGACTGCTGGCTGAAGATTAGATTTTTTTCCAACAGGTTTCTATGCAAGTAATTCAGTCACCATCTGTATGCATTCATTCTTCACCTCATTTATTGTGCTCATCTGGGGCTGGTACTGCCAAATACATGTTTGCTTGGAGATTAAGCAAGTGGAAGAAAGAGGATGAAAAGGATGTTAAGCAAAAGCAGTCTATAAATACATTCATAACGGAAGTGATCCTGCTTTCAGCAGCAGGCTAGACTGGATGACCTCCTGAGGCTTCTTCCAGCCTGAATTATTCTACAATTACACTGTCATTGCTTCCTTTTCCCCTACCAGTTAAAACCAATTTACCAGCACAGAAACAGAACTTCTCCTACAGTTTGTGTAGAGAAATTCATCTGTGCCAGAAGCTTTGAACAGGCACTTCCAGCAATTTATTCAAGTGTCTTTACTCAAAGTTACACACCCTTCCAAGAGAAAGTGGTGCCAGTCACATCTAATCCTGTCTCCATAGAGACTCCCACACCACAGAACTCCACAGCTAAGGGGAGAGGACTGGCAGGATATGACAATTACAGTTAACTGCAATCCAATACCCAACAAATTCAATCTTTCTTCATCTGACACCTGTTGATGTCAAGAAATCCAACCATGAGCTAAACACAGACTCGGTGCTGAAGAAATTACAGAAAAGAATGGAATTGGCTGCTCTGGAACTGCATCGCTGTCCTGCTCGGTGTGTTTACAATCAACAATTAACTTGCAGGAACAAAATCTTCAGGTGGTCTTACAGCTGGCATCAGGAAACCACCTCCAACAGAGGGGCTCCTAGACTTTGTCTGGATGCCACCAACAGCACTACAGGCAGACAGTGGGAGTAACTGCCAGCTGTGCTTGGTCACTCACACAGATAAGCATGTGGGTGATCAGAAAACATCCAGACAAAGCTTTCAGGTCATCTTTACAAAGCTTGTTAGTAGTGGTTTACTGGGGTACAGGGTGTTACGTCCCATTAATTGCCTCACACGCTTAAACCCTTTGTTTCTACTCCCCCCAGTGTGCTCGTACACTCCCATACACCTCTTGCTCCTCCAGAGCCTGTGCTGCTGCACAGGGCACTTGGAACGGTGCCACTGTGCTGTTGTGGGAAGGGAAAGAATACACAAGGCTATGGCCAGTTACAGCACTGCCCATTGCTGGGTCTGCTGTCAGCCTCTCATGATCCATTTGGAGTCGAAAGGAGAAAGTGGAACGGAGAAAAGAAGAAAGTATTCGCTTCCCACAAACAAGATCTGACGCTGAGCACCGCAGGTCTAATTTGCTAGAAGAGGGATTTTCAATTGCAAGTTTGAAGCACAAATTGACCTTGCTTCACCACCAGAAAGAACAAGAAGTCCACAGCAAATAGCCTCAAAAAAATCAACTGTGTTACTAAAATCAGGTTTCCCATTCATGCTTCCTCTAGAAATATCTGCTGTGAATGAAACACGAGCACCTGACAAGCAGACTGCTGCTGCAGCATACGTTTCTCAGGCTGCTATTTCCACAGGCTATTACTTCCACACACAACAGAAACTGCAAACTCCATCTTGCAATTTTATGTACCTCATTTATTTGGCTAATTTGTCAGCAGGCTATCTTTCAACTTGGTCGTTGAGAGCTTTTATGTCAGAACAATGACAGTGTAATGAATCTCTGTATGAACATTTGCAGGCTTTTGAGCCACATCAGTGGTGAGCCTATAGCTAACATTTCATTGGTGTTGCTAGCAAGGAGAGGTACAGGTAGTATCATTGCTGTGGAACAGTCTGTTCTGTAACTTATATTTGCCTTAGGTGTGTTAAATTATTTCATCAACAGCTTCAGAAAGCAGAAGATGCTCAGCAAATAAGCTGCCAGTATTCTGACGACTGGCTGAACAATTTCCGTGGACGCTTCTACTCTTGCTGAGAGCAGCACTGCAGAACAGGTATCTAATGCGTAGAGGTCTCCTCTTTGAATTTAGCTCTAGAACAAGTAAGCAGGTATCACTAAGCAACAAGACAAATGAAAAGTCAGGGCCTTGAGTTTAAATGGCTAAGCTACATCTACGGAGTTAATGAATCATCCTAATTTGCAAAAGGCTCCAGATATTAAAACAGTCTGCTCATCTCTAGCCTCATGTCTCTAGCTCAAAGATAAATAACTCACAAGTTCATTCATCTAAGAACTCACAAAGGGACAGCCTGCCTGAGCCTAACCACAGTCAAGTATATCAAACAGGAATGCTAATCATCAGCTGCTTTTCATGTAACTACTCCAAAGAAGCAGAGAAGGGCCTACAGCTCTTGTGGTCAGAGGCCACAGAATCACAGAGTGGCTGAGGTGGGAAGGGACCTCTGGAAGTCATCTGGTCCAATCCCGCTGCTCAAGCAGGGCCACCTGGAGCCGCTTGCCCAGGACCATGTCCAGATGGCTTTAGATCTTCAGAGATGGAGCATCCACCACCTCTCTGGGTAACCTGTCTCTGTGCTCAGTCACCCTCACAGTGAGAAAGTGTCTCCCAATGTTCAGATAGACCTTCCTGCATTTCAGTTTGTGCCCACTGCCTCTGGTCCTGCCTCATAACCAGGACCTGAATGCCGTACTAAAACTATGACAAATACTGCTTCTTAAAAGAGCTCTGCACCGAGGATAAAGAATAAGACAAACTAGGACCACCACCTCCTTTTTACTTTAAAAAAGCTGAAGGCAAAGATCAGACAGTCCAGTTGCTGTGTGCACGATAACCTCCTCAAAGAGCCTGGGAGGAACTTGTGACGTACAGAAAACCCCAGATTGCAGGGGTCGTGGCTCCCGAGCGCACTGATCAGACAGGCCCACAAACCCATGCCAGGCTTGGGTCTTACGACCCAACCCCTCAAAAAGGCCCACACGTTTTAGCTTCTGCATGAAGACACCTTGCAGATTCTTCTTCCTTCAGAGGAAGCTCTGATTTACAGTTGTTGCGGTCATCCTTCCAAAAGGAAAGGGCTTGACAGGCCACTCTCCACTTTCAACATCCAAGAGCAAGTCTTTACAGTCTTACAGAGGAGATATCTTTATACCAAGTATTGACATTCTTGGCTAAAATGTGAAAAAACTACTATTATGACAGACCCATGTTGAGTTTATTCAGTATTTCAAGCTGTATGGAGTAGCATTTTGATCTGAGTATCAAGTCTACCTGAAGAAAAATGGAGTTATGCCAACACCCGTGTCAATGGTTTAACCCCAGCCAGCAACTGAGCACCACACAGCCACTCACTCACTCTCCCCCGGTGGGAAGGGGGAGAGAATCAGAAGGGTAAAAGTGAGAAAATTCATGGGTTGAGATAAAGACAGTTTAATAATGGAAATAAAATAACTAACAATAACAAAAAATTGTAATGAAAAGGAAAATAACAAAAAGAGAAATAAAACCCAAGAAAGACAAGTGATGCAAATGAAAAACAATTGCTCACCACCCACTGACCAATGCCCAGCCAGTCCCTGAGCAGCGCCCC